AAGACCAGCCTGGTCAACCTCATGTCTACAAAAATAAAAAAATTAGCTGGGCATGGTGGTGCATGCCTGTAGTCTCAGCTACTAGGGAGACTGAGGTAGAAGGTTGGCCTGATACTGAGTGTGGTGGCTCATGCCTGTAATCCCAGCACTTGGGGAGGCAGAGGCAAGAGGGTTGCTGAGCCCAGGACTTCAAGACTAGCCTGGGCAATTTGGTGAGACCTCGTCTCTACAATAAATAAAAAAATTAGAGACTAGGTGTGGTGGCTCATGCCTATAATCCCAGCACTTTGGGTGGCCGAGGTGAGAGGATTGCCTGAGCTCATTGGTTTGAGACCAGCCTGGACAACTTGGCAAGACCTCATCTCTACAATAAATCACAAAATTAGCCAGGCATGGTGTTGTGTTCCTGTAGTTCCGGCTATTTGAAAGGCTGAGGTGGAAGGACCATCTGAGCCCACCTGGTTGAGTCTGTGGTGGCTGTGAGCATGCCACTGCCCTCCAGCCTGGGTGACAGAGTGAGACTCTGACTTTAAAAAAAAAGAACATTGGTCTGAGCCCAGGAGGTTGAGGTTGTAATGAGCCCTGATTGTTTCACTGAACTCCAGCCTGGGCAACAGAGTGAGACCCTAGCTCAAAAAACAAAACAAAACAAAACAAACACACACACACACACACACACACACACACACACACACACACACACACACATCTCACATAAACTCAGATTTCTATATGTGAATCAGCACCTTCATAAAGTTACTTTTTTTTTTTTTTTTCCAGTTGGAGTCTCATCTCTTGCCCAGGCTGGAGTGCAGTGGCATCTCATGGCCACTGCTGCCTTGACCTGCTGGGTTCAGATGATCCTTCTGTCTTAGCCTTCCAAGTAGCTGGAACCACAGGCATGCGCCACCACACCCAGCTAATTATTTATTTATTTATTGTAGAGACAAAGTCTCGCTATGTTACTCAAGCTGGTCTCCAGCTCCTGGGCTCAGGCAATCCTCTCACCTCTACCTCCCAAAGTGCTGGAATTATAGGTATGAGCCACCGTGCCCGACTTTATGCCATTACTTTTTTTTTTTTTTTTTTATGGTTTTGTGGGGTACAGTTAAGGGTTTAGGTATACAATTACGTTTCATTCAGGCACCCTGTTGATA